GTGTGTGTGTGTGTGTGTGTGTGTGTGTGTGTGTGTGTGTGTGTGTCTCAGGTGGTTTAAATCTTTCCGTCTCTCTGTGTCGGGGTGTTGTGTTGTGTTGTGTTGTGTTTTGCGTGTCGCTCCGTGACGAGGAGGTCTTCCGATAAGACGCCCGAGGAAACGAAGCGCCGCTCCGGGTCTCTCCTGCTTCGTCCTCCAGGCAGGAGGTGGGACGCTTCACCTGAGCAGAAGCTGATAAGTGTGAGGGGGGGTTTGGTTTGTGGGAGGACCCCCGGCTCAGAAGTGATAAAGTAGTTCCTCGTTAGAAACGATCCTCGTGTAGCAGCGCAGCTCGATCTGCAACAAACTCTTATTTATTTATGTTCCTCTTTAATGTTCCTCTATTTTCATTGTTTTTATTTGACTTCAACCATTCATGTATGAAAACATTCAGACCCTGCCTGTGTCCAAATTCAGCCTCGACCTTTAAGATCAGCAGAACACCTGGACTACCTGGACCAGGAAGACCTTTAGTGCTTAAGCAACTTATACCTTTTTGGCTATTTAGCTTCTCAGCCATGTTTTTCTCATTGAAGACTATAACTGTTTTCAACATCCTTAAAACTGAAATAATTAAGTCTTTACTGTACTTTACACCTTTTTTTTTGTTTTGCTAATTTTAGCTTTTTTCTGCTGCTGCAGCTCATTCTGCTCCTTTCTGCTACTCTTCAGCTAATTTCTACTTTTTTCTTCGTTGCTTTCTACTAATTTAAGCTATTTTCTGTTATTTCAGCTACTCTATTGCTGTTTTTTTTTGTTCAGTTTAGTTTTTTCAAGCGTTAATTGAGCAAATGTGTTTCTTCTGCTTCTTTTTGGTAATTTCAGCTAAATTTATTTTTCTGCTAAATTTGTCTGTTTTTAGCTTTTTTTACATCTTGTAACTTGTACTCCTTTTCTTTATTTTCTGCTAACTTTAAATTTTTAGTTCTTTCATCATTTATTTGCCAGTTAACTTTATTCTTCTACCTTTAGCTTTAACTTTTTGTTGCTAATTTTAGCTTTTTTCTGCTTATTCATCTATCATCCTGAATTATCACAGGAAATGTAAATTCACCTGTTTTTCTTTTTCTTTTGGGTGAAATCTTCCTTTAAGTCTGGTTATTTAGGAACAAAAGGAACTGGTTTTGTCCTCTTCAGTCATTAGACACACAGCTGAAGAGATTTGTCAGGAAAATCAGCGACACGTAGCCGATAAAACCCCGGAGAGCCTCACAGCAGCTCTAATTAAAGCCTTTATTAGCCACACACAACATGACAGTTTACAGGCCTTTAGGCCAACACACCTAGTTAGTCTGATATTTGTGTTTCCATCACTAATAAGAGACACAAACTGAGTTCATGAAGACACAACAACATCTGAGGTTTTACTGAGTGAAAAACAGGAAAAAATAAAACTGAGCAATAAAAACATGTTTACTCTGTTAACTGTTTCCATCCAACCATCCATCCATCATCCATCCATCCATCCATCCATCTATCATTCAACCATCTATCCAACCATCCATCCATCCATTCAACCTTCTATCCATTCAACCATCTATCCATCCATCTATCATTCAACCATCCAGCCAACCAACCATCCATCTATCCATCCAACCAACCTTCCATCCATCCATCTATCCATTCAACCATCCATCTATACATTCAACCATCCAACCAACCATCCAACCAACCATCCATCTATCCATCCAACCATCTATCCATCCAATCATCTATCCATCCAATCATCTATCCATCCAATCATCTATCCATCCAACCAACCATCCATCCAACCAACCATCTATCCATCCATCCATCCATCTAACCAACCAACCGTCCATCATCCAACCATCCATCCATCCAACCAACCTTCCATCCATCCAACCAACCTTCCATCCATCYAACCATCCAACCTTCCATCCATCCATCCAACCAACCTTCCATCCATCCATCCATCCATCCAACCAACCCACCAAACATCCAACCTTCATCCATCTAACCATCCATCTAACCATCCAAACTTCCATCCATCCAGCCATCCATCTAACCATCCAACCTTCTATCCATCCAACCAACCAACCTTCCAACCAACCAACCTTCCATCCATCCATCCAACCAACCTTCCATCCATCCATCCAACCAGCCAACCTTCCATGCATCCAACCATCTATCTAACCAACCAAGCTTCTATCTAACCAACCAAGCTTCCATCCATCCAACAAACCAACCATCCATCCAACAAACCAACTATCCATCCAACAAACCAACCATATCTATCTATGGTTTATTAAGTAACCATAGATAGATATCTACCATAGATAGATATCTAACCAACCAACCTTCCATCCATCCATCTAACCAACCAACCTTCCATCCATCCATCTAACCAACCAACCTTCCATCCATCCATCCAACCAACCAACCATCCATCCAACCAACCAACCAACCAACCAACCAACCTTCCATGCATCCAACCAACCTTCCATGCATCCAACCAACCAACCAACCTTCCATGCATCCAACCAACCAACCAACCTTCCATGCATCCAACCAACCAACCAACCAACCTTCCATGCATCCAACCAACCAACCAACCAACCTTCCATGCATCCAACCAACCAACCAACCTTCCATGCATCCAACCATCAATCTAACCAACCAAGCTTCCATCCATCCAACCATCAATCTAACCAACCAAGCTTCCATCCATCCAACAAACCAACCATCCAACAAACCAACCATCCAACAAACCAACCAACCAACCATCCAACAAACCAACCAACCATCCAACAAACCAACCATCCAAACAACCAACCAACCAACCAACCAACCAACCAACCAACCAACCTACAAACCAACCATCCATCCAACAAACCAACCATCCAACCAACCATCTGTCCAACCAACCATCTATCTAACCAACCAACCGTCCAACCAACCATCTATCTAACCAACCAACCATCCATCCATGCATCCAACCTTCAATCCATCCAACCTTCCATCCATCTATCCAACCTTCCATCCATCCATCCATCTAACCATCCAACCTTCTATCTAACCATCCATCAAACCAACCAACCTTCCATCCAACCAACCAACCAACGTTCCATCCATCCATCCATCTATCCATCCGATGGCGACAGCGTGGAGACCCAGGCAGTCATTCTTTTTAAAGTCTAAAATATTCACGTGAAAATCAATGTCTTAAAACCTCGTCACTGAGGACAAATGTCTTACCTCTGGAGTATAAATTAGTTTGAGTTTTCTACTTGACTGTTTGTTTGAGTCTGTTTTTATAAAACAAAAATCTAAGTGTTGATCTTTTTTTTTCAGGATGTGATCCAGGAGAGCGTGGCCAACTACAGCAACTTGACCTTCGAGGAAGTTGTTCAAGAACTCATCAAGCAGAAGGAGGTGGTGAGGAAGAAGGACGCCCACATCAAGGAGCTGGAGGACTACATCGATAACCTGCTCGTTCGTGTGATGGAGGAGACGCCAAGCATTCTACGGACCCCCTATGAGCCAAAAAAGAAGGCGGGTAAACTTTCTAAAAAGTAGAATAAAAAAAAAAACAACAAAAACACTGGAAGGAACGTTACTGTTGAAGATCATTCATGTATTATGTGGGTGAAGCTATGGGTAAAAATGGACCCATCAGGTTTGAGGTGTTAAATTTTTTATTTAGTTGGAATGGTTTTTATGGACTTTTTTGAAACGATTTGGTTTTTCAAGTCATCCAGGTTTATTACATTTAAGTTGTTGAAGTTTATTACAATCAGGTGGTTTCTTTACTGTTGTATTATACATAGTAATTTCAAACAAATCATGCTGGTTTATTACAGCTTTATTACAGTTGGGTAAAGGTTAAATGAATCTTAGTCCTGCTGGTTTATTACAGTTGAATCAAACAGTTATTACAGGTTTATTACAGTCGAGTCACGGGTTTATTAGTCGAGTCATACAGATTTATTACAGGTGTATTACAGTCGATTCATAGTTATTACGGGTGAGTTATACAGGTTTATTACAGGTGTATTACAGTCGGCTCATCCAGTTATTACAGGTGATTCATACAAGTTTATTACAGTTGAGGTAAAGGTTTAATGAATCTTAGACATGCTGGTTTATTACAGTTGAGTCAAACAGTTATTACAGGTTTATTACAGTTTTCTACATTTCAGTCACACAATTCCTCATTTTTCTGTTTTATGGTACTTAAACAAATTATTTTTTTAAAAGTAATTGTTTTATAAGGCTCGTGTTGAGCTGCACTTCCTGTACACCGTTAGGAAATGTTTCCAAATTTATGTTTACGGTTCTGTGTGATTTGCTTAAACCTTGATGAGAAGAAGCTGTAGTTCCAGTGTTTACAATCAAAGTCTTACTGATTTAACAGATTTAATTTAGTTTTTTTTTCTCTTTAATGAGGAGGAATTCAGTCTGGATGGTTCAGTTTCCCACACTAACAGTCTGGGAGTCACTTTTTTCCAAGAACAAATGTTTGTTCATTATGTTTTGTATTTATTTTATTTGGGATGGCTGGTAGTTTTTCTTTTTTTGGACCAAGGGTCTCTCACTAGAGGTGATAATTTACTGACTTAAAGTGCAATATAATCATTGCTCAGACAAGCTCTACACATGTTTACATTTGAGTTCTTATCCTGGAGTTAAACTCGTCTCAGTATTGATCCGATCGATGGGACTTTATCTGATTGTATAAACGGTACCAGGCAACAAGCGGTGAAATGCTGCACATGTTTGTATTTATGCTGCACAGTTTTTATTATTTATAAGTGTTTATTAACCCACGTGAACTCTACTTTTATTGTTTTACAGTACTCTAAACCACTTTTGTGTTTCAACACCTGTTGGTGCAAAATCTACAGAAACTGACCAACTTGTTCAGAGCAAACCCAGAATGGAAAACCTGGAAAACCTGGAAAACCTGGAAACAGCCCTTTAAAACCCAGAGTTTTTCCTCTCATCAATGACATCTACTTTTCAAAGTCATAGATATAAAATCAGCGGTTTAATGGTTGTTTTGGACATTTTGAAGTGGGGTTTCTGTGGAAAGCTCATGAATATCTGCTTCAAGCAGGACAAGTTGATTTCTGACGGGACTGATGAGCTCATGGCTAGTCGAAATGGATCACTGCTGTCTTGAAACTAAAGCTACTAACTTTCAGTTCTTCACACGAACGTGATTTTTAAAACATTTGCACTGCTGTCGTTTTAAAAGCTTCTCTACACAAAAATGTGGTTGCAGTTAGCAACAGCAGCAGCTAGCTGCTGCTGTTGCTAACTGCAACCACATTTTTGTGTAGTTAGCAACAGCAGCAGCTGTTGTTGTTGCTGCTGTTGCTAACTACACAAAAATGAGGTTGCAGTTAGCAACAGCAACAGCAGCAGCTAGCTGTAGCACCTCCTGCAAGAGTCAGTTTTTCTGTTAGAAAGAAACAGTTGGTATAAAAGTTATGGAACGTGATGTTTTTTTTTTTTTTTTTTTGATAAACATGAATAAAAATTTACTTTCAATAAAATTCATGTAAAATATTTTTAATTTCTTTTTGTCTGATGCCTTTCCTGAACCAACCTGGGCTCAAATCTGTGGCCTCAGGATGATGAGTTGGAGGGACTGACCACTGAACCACCGCGTACTCTTCTTCTTGCAGTCATAAAGTAAATAAAACAAAAATACGTTTAACGAACGTCCATTTTGATGTTAAAAAAAACAACAATTTCAAGAAAAAGTGACATTTTACCAGCGCTCACATAAACCGCCGTGAAATTTATAAAAGTTCAGATCCTGCTCACACTAGCCTTTTGCTCATCAGTCCTGTCAGAATTCAACGGTTCCACGTGTCACCCCTTAAAAATGTCCCAAATTTCCCTTTAAGAAGCAGAATTTTCCTGTTTTCTTGTAAATCCTCAGATATTTAGTTTTCCTTTTCGTCGGTCGTGTTAAAGACTCAAACAGAGGAAGGTGAGCTCGTCTTTACGCCTCGCTCTGTTTTTGTTTGTTAAAAACCTCCACAGACACGCGCTGGCGGGTTCCAAGATGCCGGAGTATTTTCTGCTTCGGCGCCTTTTAATGAGAATCTGCCGACTAAACGTAAACAAGGAGCTGCGGTTCGGTGCTTCCACATCTTCAGATTTCTGTTCGTTTAAAGACGAGCCGTCTTTAAGAAGCCCGTTGGACCTGAGAGCAGAATATTTCAGTCCGACGTGTTCGGCTGCAGTTTTTTATCCACATCATGTAAAGTTCTGTTTTTGTAAATGTCTGTTTAGGTTTAGTTGGCAGGGGTAAAATAAATCAGACCTTCGTACCGGACGTACGGATAAACTAACACAATCTCCTCTTTTTAAAACCATTTTTTAGTTTTCAGCTGCTGTAACAGCAGTGTGTTTGGATGCGGCGTGTCGCGTCCTGATGAATGTATTTCTCTTGTTTAACACAGACACCTGTAAATACGCTACACTATCACATGCCTTTGAAGTATTTGGGTTTTCTGAATGTCTAATGTAATCTATGCTGACCTCAGAGCCTTCATTACGAACAAAATACTGTTAATTTGTTTTTTTTTTATGATGCCAAAAACAAATAAATCAGTGTCTTAGTGCTGTGCAGGTTTCTGTTGGTGGATTGTAAGTAAAGGGCTGTTCAGACCTGGAGGCAAATATTCATCTTGATCTGAAGCGTTCACACCCCAACGCAGCAAATCACACTAAAACAAGAACTCAATGTTTTGACTTTAACGCAAACTTAAGGACAAACTGGGTAGAGACATTTATGAAATTTAACCAAACTTATGGACAAACTGGGTAGAGACATTTATGAAATTTAACCAAACTTATGGACAAACTGGGTAGAGACATTTATGAAATTTAACCAAACTTATGGACAAACTGGGT